TCAACACACCAGCAATATCCTGTAGACCCCCAGCATTGCTTCTCTTCAAACTCTCCGTTCTCTTTGCATTGTGGGACAAATGCGCCAATCGACGGCAGACCTCCTGCTTGTTCTTTCTGCTGCTCGCATTTCGTTTTGGCTGTGAAAAGTGGTGACCAGATATAGTAAGCATGGTGACTTATCATGTACTCAATAGATTAGGCTAGGACCTGGCAGCGCTCCAATTTTTCGATTGTTTGCATCAGACTAAGGCACGTGTGTTACATACACAACACTTTTGATACTCAGATCAAATACATAGTTGTATTTTGAACATATAGAAGCCTAAAGTTTTCTTCCTGCACAAGGCATAAAACTTTAAGAAAAGTTAACATAAATAGGTGCTACACCTTAGTCCTGTATGTGTGTGTATTACAATCTGACCGCCTTCAATGAGTTGCACTTAGAACCTAGTAACAGTGATAAAATGATACCTTCTGTTGAAGCAAGAACGCAGGCGATTATTACAATCCACATCCTAGGGTTACTGGATCACACCTCTTGTATAGATATGATTGACCTGTAGACATGGTTCCTTTTATGCAGTTTTTCACATATGAAACAATAGCGAGGAATGACTGTTTGACCGGCTGGTCTGCTGTGTAAGCATCTATTGTAAGTCTATATTGTCAATAATTATTTTTAAGACTTTACAAGTGTTTATCAGTTACTTTATTCTTTAACAACAGTAAGTGAACTTGATGCTCAGTGTAAACGTTGTACCCTTTTGTCACAAGTGAATTTTAAACAATTTAAAATCGATTAAAATCGGTGCTAAATCGTACCTTTTATGCTATTACGAGCCATCGTAAATAACGGTGGATTGTCGAAAACTGCTCGACCGAAAAGAACTATGGGTACATAATTGTATTCGCAGGTCGTAGTTTACATCGTACGTCGTGTTACATACTCACTAATGATTATGATTCGAAACAATTACAACCTTAAATAGCTGATATCGCATCGATATACATTACCCATAACTCCTTTCAATCGTTCTTCGTTTCTTACTTCACTTTAATGACTTGAAACCCGATAATTATCCAACTTAATCTTTCATTTAGCGTTGCCTGGTGAATCTTCTTTTGGTTTAAAATGATAGAAAGTTCTGATTGCTCTGTTACGTTGAATTTATGGATGTAATTTTGGACTAGGGATTAGTAATCAGTGTAATTGTTTCTTTAATCTATATGCATATTATCTGGAGGAGATATGTGTAACAAATAATGCATTTTACGATTTTTAAGATAACTGGGGTCGGCAAGCCTTGCTTTGAGAGTAGACGTCTTAATATCATGTAGTACAATATCTTAGAGTTCGAACATATTACTCGTTACTAAACGCGAGAGAAAATATTTTTCGTGCAGGTTGTTTACACACAAAAGACGGGACGAAATGAAAATTCTGTTGTCTTTATTTAAAGGTTTAGTCACCTTGACCAGAAGGATAAACATTTCCAGACAATTTCATTAGAGTGTAAGTGTGTATTGTGCAGTATTTGCACAAGTTTGACATTGAGAAAAAAAGACGGTGTTTTCTGTGTACACATTCAAATTCAATATTTCACTAAAACCTGTTATGCTAAGAAAACTGTACAGAACTAAAAATCATTTATAAGATCCCAGAAAATTATTTCTTCTAGACGTCATAATTTGTCGTGGAAAACTATTTTGTTGCTGTTATTTTAATAAGAATCTAAAAAAACAAGCAAACAAATTCTAAGAAAAGGAAGCCAGTTAGTTGTTGTTATATTCCAGGAATATCTATAATTGCATTGAGTGGTTATACCGGTTTATCAATAAACACTTTTTTGACTAGAGTCTTGAGAATAAAGGAATACTAGGTGAAGGAAGCCAGAAAAATGCTAATGGAAGTTAAAGCCATTTATTGTCTCCAGCGATACTCTATCGTGGGAGTTCCATTAAGTGTTTGTACCGGGATATCAAACAAAGACACTCTTCTTGTGGGTGAAATCAAAAAAGGAAAGATTAAATAACCTCAATTTCATATAGAAATCAGGTCCATTAAATGTACATACTGGGATACCATTTCAGTGCACACGGAGAAACCATTTTAATGTCGGAAGCAGATGTTGAACACAGATAAAACCATTTAAATGTTTAATAAGGATTGGTGTGTTTTCGTGATGTGAAAGATTGTTCCTACTAATATCATTAAGTGTTTTTCCATTTAACAATATGTAATCTTCTTATTGATAAACATCTTTGTCCCCAATATTCCAATATCAAGGAATACCAGTTAAATGCAAAGTTCCTTGTTTCTGTAAATATTAGAATGATTGATCAGTAATTCGACTCCACTTAGAATTAACCTTTTTTTATAATTGGTAGTAACAAAATGTAGAAAGTTTTCACTTTTAACATCTTATCTTGTGCCGATATCACTTAAGTGCGCACTTTCAATTTGTAAACCATTTTTTTATATTAGTTAATGTTGTGATCGAGATATCATTCATATGCAACACCGCATGAATTCAGGCTGTAAGACGAACCTAAATGTACTTTTKAATGTGTGAGTTGCTTCCGGGGGATTATACAATAGATTGATATTTGCAGACAGACAAATGCTGAAAACATGATCTGGTGTAGAATGTTCTAAGGCTGAGTTGCATGACACTTATTATCCGCTAAAAGCGCACTAACAGCCGTGTTGAAAAGTAACGAAAATAAATGGAATTACTTGTAAATACGGATTAGGGATGATCATAAATGAGGGCACGGTAGAAAAGCAAAGATAGAGACTTATTCTTAAATACTTGAATACAAAGAATCTTCCTTTTAACGCATACTCCAAGAAACCTTAACTTTTCTATTTTACACTCATAGTTTTATCATTCGGTAAACATTATGATTCTTCATCAACATTTATTCATGAAGATAGCATTACATAAAGATAATTTTTGTGATTACATTGATTAGTTTTAGTAAGCTATTTGCTTAGTGTGCGCAATTGAATCAAAAAGGAAATTGTTTAAAGTACGAAATTATAAGTGCACAAATATTTACCAGTGCAGAATTTTGCGTCAAACTTGTGCCGCATGGATATAAAATATATGCCATAATAGCTAAAGAAAACGCCCTCGCAGGCAAATTTGTTAATGGCTTAAATTCATCCCCATACCATCTCGAGACTTGTCAACTTGTAATCGCAATAATGTTATGAAAACAAAGATTGATTATAGTCTTATATGACTAGAAAAAATCGCGTACTTTAAAGGTTGTAAATTTGATGTAAATATGATGTAAGTGTCCAAAATTCTGTAAATATGATGTAAGTGATCATGTTTACATCAAATTTACAACCTTTAAAGTGCGCGATTTTTTCCAGTGAACTCTTTGAAAACGTTGCCGTATTCAGACGATGATTCTCGAGACGAACCATTACTATTGTAGTAAAAAATAAAAATTAGAACAGGGCCAAGCACGTGTTCTATAGGTCAGCGGATTCAGCTGTTCTGATAGCAGACTTGACACGAAAGGAGTAGCCCACTGTGGTACCATTGTGTTCTGTAGTTCCAGACCTTAATCTTGGCTGCTTCTTTTTTAAAAATTTCAAGGTTAATATGGCATTAACTGTCCTCCTGAATTCTGTAATTCTAAAGGTGTATATTATAGGGTTCACTACTGAGTTTGCGTAGTGCAGTAGTTTAGTTAGCGATAATACATGAATATTATACAGCTTGACACGGCACGATTTACACAATGAAAAAATGATATTCATGATTTCGAAAGGTAACCATGCTAGTAATGAAATCGCTGTTACCATGAACAGTGTCAAAGCAAGTCTGTTATCACGATCAATCGACTCTCGTCTTTGCTTAACTTTTAATCTCATTCTTCTTAGTCGTTTGAAGCTCATCTTTTGTTCTTTTTGTTCTGTGAACGATTTGCCAAACGTTTGAAAAGACTTCTTGAAATGTGAAGTGCTTTCTGTAGTATTTGTCGAGCCATTGATCAAAGAATCTGTCACTTTTCCTACTTGAAGTTTTTTATTGTTTATAGCAACCAAGTGGATTCTTGCTGGGGGGAGATCTTCTACTGAATCGCGATGAAAACCGTGTAGTATAGTCACGGAACCAGTTTCCTCATCGAGATGACAATCATCACTATCATATCTAAAGCCAACGCATATATGCCTGACCGATCCACCCTCATTATCTGAACTACGCTCACTGCTAATAATCGAGTTACAACGTCGCCTTTTGATTGATTTTGCCGGTCGTTTTGTTGTTACAATTACCCAAATTGCAACATAAGAAAATATCATAATTATCTGCGATAATGTTAATAAAGGTAATAGGACATAGAAGAACACAGAACGCCGGCTCTGTACAATTAAAGAAATAACAGCCACGATTGCAGCGGTTAACCATATGCCAACGATTGAACAAATATAAGGTCGATTACTAACTGTTCGATGTCTAAATGGCCATGAAATAGCAAACAAACGATCCAAAGCAAGCACAGCTAAACCAAATACGCTTGCCATTCCTAGTAGAATATCACATGACGTGTATACGGTTGATATATTTTTAGTAGTTCCTTTTATAGTCGCGATGTATAGAGGTTCAGATAGTGCACCTACAAGCAAGTCAGCCACTGCTAAATTAATGATAAGCCAGTTGCCTCTTTTCTTTAGGAAACGTTTGTTGGACAAGACAGCGATTGTTAATAGATTACCAACAACTATGGCGGCTGATTCGACCATAAAGATCTCTGGCCAAATGTTATCCATGACAACGACCCTAACGGCATTGAACACGGCCAATCAATCGTTCCCAGTTTTTCTTCGGTTACATTTCACAAGTAGCTGTTTCGAGGTTCTCTTGATGGTAGTGTTCGATGTGATTTATCCTGCTTCAAAAGCTTGTTGTGTTGATGGTCTCTTACGTGTTTTAACTAAAGTGTTCTATGATTGTGTTGCACATGTGACAGATGATTCTATCCGATTATTATTATTCACTTGTCATGCCCAGAAATATCGCCATCGATCAAAATTAAAACGAGAACCTACCACATAGGAAAGAAACGAAATTGACTCGTTGCCGCCGCGCGACGCCTACTTTTTGTCTATTGTTAGGTGGCCAAGCGATACTCCGAAGGAAATACTTAACTAGCCTCTTAACATCCGAAATTGAAAGCAAACTACTTTGATCCAGAGAACGTCTTTCACTGTGGGAACGTCAAGGTGTAGTGGACGACAGTCTGAACTTTCTGCTATTAAGGCATACGTTAACAGCAAAATCTGTCAACGCTTTGGACATTTAACTGTACACAGAATTAATTACGCACGAAAAATCGAAAATTATGATAAGTTTTAACACATTAATGCGATATTTACTTAACGGCGGTAGGTCAAAGAAATGCTCAGTCTACAATGGAAAATTGAAATAATAGGAAATCCTTTTCAAAAACACCTGTACGTAATTTATAGAGATGACGGGAATATTGATTAGATTATCCATGTGTGGCATGTTTGTATAAAGATGTGGCTGTTAATTGTGCATGTGTAAGAAATTGATTAGGAGCATTTCTCAATGTGCGCATGCGCGTTTTCTGTCCATTTGATCACACTATTGCGCATGCTCGTATATTTCTGATGATTATCCCACATGGTTTTTCTCGTGTTTTCTGATAGACGATCGGTAATCTTCTCTTCATTTGAATCTCATGCTTAAGTTTTTTTAAGTACTATAAGTGGCTTACAGAAGTGAGAGCAAAGTTGTTATTATTATTTCTGATTTTATCCCATTTTTTGTTTTATTCAAAGATTTGTCTTTATTTTAAACTTGATATCTGACCCTATGAATGATTTAGCTTTAAATGACGCCAATTCTTGAATTGATGATATTGACCACTTACAGCGGGAAAAATTATTTCTGTAATATTGAAAATAATGACATACTAATTGTTATAAAGACTGCTCGTTGCGTACAATATTTATTTTTCTCATAGAATATATTCAGGTTATAATTTATTTATGATCTTTTTGCTGATCGGCTACATTTCTACAGCCTAGAACCTTCTTCAACAAAATTAACATTGAATAAAAGTATATATATTTTTTCATGGCAGAATTGAGTAGAGAAAGACAGAAACGATAAATCGATCAGCTTTTGTGCAGTTTGCGGGCGTCTCGGCTGCCTGCGTTGAATGATACGAGTTTTCAGGTTCGCCTAACACAGGAAACCGGTAGGCAAACAAATTTGGATAGAACCAACTCTGTTGGTATTCCTGTGTCAGAGTAGATCGACCAACTTTAAGGAGGGAATGAGGAGAGAATATCAACACAGGAAGTCCAGACGTTTTGTTGGAGTGTGGAAAAGGCATGGAGTCACAGGCATATATAATAGTCTTGATTAGTTTCACGTTCTCTAGCTGTAGTTTCTCAATATTTTTCACTAAAAATAGAAACGCCTTTTGTTTAAGTAAACATTTTAACTTTTGATATGAATAAGTCATAAATTTATTATATAACCGATTTCTCTCATACCTCAATCATGCAGGATCGCGATACATAGAGACACAAGACCAATGCTTTATTTACACTATTATAATAACAATAACAATAAAATAATTATACAAGAATGTATTGTTACCCGCATTTAAACTATTCTGTTAGGTTACAAGGAGATATACTAGACTGGAGTATAATTTTCAAAATAGGATATATATACGAATAATAAACAAAGAGAACGGACGAAAGGAAATTAAGGATATGTCTACATATAATTCGATTATGCAATATTACGCAACAAAAACGAGGCATTTGATGATACATGATTGCGATTATAAATTATAGCTGATTCTTGTTATTATGCTACTGTATGTATATTGACAATATATAGCGAATGCTATTCTTGTACGAGTCTTATATTTCACACTAACTAGTCTAGATTTCTATGTTTCTTGGTGCTGACTAGTCTCTCGCTGGTGTACCGAGATTATGGTGTCATGAGATTATTGAATCATAGCACTTTCATGATTGTAGACTTTGTTATGTTGTTTACCAACCAAAAAGCAACGGAAGATTGAAGCGTCAGTTGTGAGTATTGTTTGGCACGTTTCAATACAAGGCGTTTGATTGTACAGATGTACAGATGCCCAAGTTAGTTGGTCTTGATTTCACTAGATTTCTAAATATGTCAGTATTTATACTAATAGTTTACTAAAGGATAAAATGAAAGTTTTGTACATTGAAGTTTAGGATGTCAAACTAAATATAAGAGTACAAACGCAAATATGTTCACACTTCAGAGCATGCGTAAAGGGTGCCACTGTGCAGACGTCTGAGCATGCGTAGTCATGAGTGTCTAACATCTCCGGTAATAAGTCCTTGATTACTTCATAGTGACAATTAAAGTCGGTGTTTTAATCATTTTGCTGGATCTTCTACTAGAATACTTTCGTCTTACACTGTACCGAGAGAAAAGTCGTCTTGTTGACTTCCTAAACTCAGGAATCCTTAATACATACACAATTGGGTTGATAAATGAGTTTCCAAATTGAAGAAACTTTGCTAAGTATGCAAACTGTGTTAGCGTTCGTTGACATGGCAAGCAAAATGGTAGTATAATGTTTAATATTTCAGCTGGTAACCATGCTAGAATCGACAATACAGTTACAATGAATAGTGTTTTTGCAAGTGTTCTTTCATGGCGTACTCGCTGTTCCTGGGCATGTTCTCCTATGACGGGTGTGGATCGCACTTTCCACCATATCGTACTGTATGATATACATATAATGACGTGTATCGTGGTTAGCAGTGGTAGGATATAAAAGAAAAACACGTTTTGTGATGGATTAAGAAGTGTCGTGAAACCAGTGACCGCAGATATCATCCATGTGCACACGATTATTAATAATAAATGATTTCGTTTAACTGTGCGATGGTTCATGGGCCAACATATCGCGTATAGCCTTTCAAGTGCCAAGGTTAGCAGTCCAAGAAGAGACTCTACACCAAACATGATATCAAACAATATAAACGCTGTTCTTACGCCAGTGTTTTGGTTCTGTATGATGTGGTAGATATACAATGGTAGTGTTACCATACCAACCATCAGGTCGGCAATAGCCAAGTTTGCGATAAGATAATATCTTCGTTTACGGTGAAGCCGACTTAATGTCAAAGCAGCTATAACCAAGGCGTTTCCCGTTACAATCACTAATGCCTCTAGTCCAAACATTACGAACCATACTGCCATCTCTTGATCACTTCTGTGCAGAGCTGAATGCTGGGTATTTGATCAGTCAGTTGATCTACGAGACAAATACAACATAGCATTAGTTTTACAAAATAACTGTTTTATTCCACAACAATTCATGGCCTACCGTCTTGCTAATATTATTGTACCTCTTAAATGTGATGTTTAGGATTGAACATTTTAGGATATGTGGGCTACTAAGACATCCCGATTCATTGATTCATGTGCATTTTAACCCAATTATCGCCTTGTATCGCGCACTTCCTCGTGTAGGGGGCCGTTAAAATGTTTTAATTTAATTGATCGTAGTTTTAATTGAAATAATTTTAAATGCGCACGTACCGACCCTTGCATCTCTTCTGTTTTCTTAATTTAGATGCTTCTTCATAACACAATTCCTGGGAAACCTTTACTATTTCTTTAGTCCATACCATAATATATAGGAAAATGTGCGTCTTGATTAAATGTTTTAGAAATATAATTGAAAAGTTGACTGGAAAGAGGCACATCATTGCAGACGGCATTCGCTTTGAAGACGACACGCTAAAGCATATTTGCGCACATCTTTCTGCCTTACCGTACTGACTTACACAGGTTCCACATCAAGGATTAACTAACTATCTACATATCTTAACTGACTAATCAAGTAGGATTCAGCACAACTCACATTTTGATTTTTGTCGTGACACAAGCTAACGTTGACGCAGAAAACTCTCTTGGCAATGAAGAGAACAACCCATCATCTCAACTTACATGCAATCAGTGCCTAAGACTTGAACCAGGGCCACAGGATCGCTCAACCTACATACAATCAGTGCCTAAGACTTGAACCAGGACCACAGGAT